GGATCACTCGTCCAAATGAAATTCCTGTGAGCTGCTCACAACACCGGGTGTTGAACACCCTCTCACAGCCGAGACTTGATTGTTCGAAGCTGTGTCAAAGTAAAGTCAGTTAGGAGCCACGGAAGGTTGGCATGGTGGCAAAATTAAAAAAGGGCATACAGAACGATAAAGCAAGAATTTCGTGTAAATGACCATCCCTCACACCTGTGGCTCTTTCTCACTTTCTGTTATGCCTTCAATCTGATGCTTCCATTCCACCCATGATCTTTTGCAGGGACCTCTCAAACAACCAGCTTGAAGACGTCCCTTCCACTTTGGGTGCACTCAGCATGTTGACATACATGTGAGCTACATGCATGCAGCCGGACACACCATTGATACACACCAACCATTTAGCTTGTATTCGTGTACCAACAGTGAGTCCTCCCAGACGTGCATCATTAATTTGGAGTCTCCTTTTTTACCGCTCTTCTCGCTTCTCCTCCACCTTACTTATTTCACTATCCTTGAGCCTCCGACTCACCATCGCCAGTGCTTCCCAATGCCTGATCGGATGAACCCCCAACCACCAGGTCCCTCTCTTACAACAAGCTCTCTGGACCCATCCCTGACACCATCGGCTCCCTCACCAGCCTTAAAAATCTGTACGCCACACATATTTGCGTGGTTAATTGGCAGTGTTGTTATTGTCGAGTCAGGTTTTTTCTGCTGGAGTAGTTGCTGCAAGTCTCCATTTACTGGCACCACTCTTCTTGACGTTGTTTTGCCGCCCTCCCATGCTGCTGCAGGGGCCTTCATTCCAACAAACTCTCGGGCGCCATCCCTCCGTCCATTGCCTTGCTGAAAAATATCAACGCACTGTGGGTGCTGCGCTGCCACTGCTGCTACTCCATGCTCCTCACCCATCCAGCCAGAGGCTAGGCTGTGTTTCATATCAGCATTATTAAACTTTCATATTTGAGCTGTTTTGATTTTCACTTTTTCTTTCTTACTCTCTGCTGTCCATGATCCAATCCTCTGTTTCTGCTGTTCCCCCAGCGACCTGAGCTCCAACCAACTGTCTGGTCCCATCCCCAAGGAGATTGGTTCCATGGTCGCCCTCACCAAACTGTCAGTCACCCCCCTCCACCACACCTCGATGCATTTTTTCCTTTGCCGTCCTTGCCTGTCGTTCCTCCTTTTTCCTCCTTTTTTTTTTATTTTCTCCCACTTACCTACCAATCCTTGTTCGCTCGTTGTTGTTTCTTCAGTACTACTAGTCTTCCATCGTGGCCATCTTTTCTCCCCCTACCTTGTTTCACCTTCGCACCTGCTCTTATGCCTCCAATCTCATGCTTCCGTTCCTCCCATTATCTTTTGCAGGGACCTCTCAAAGAACCAGCTTGAAGACGTCCCTTCCACTTTGGGTGCACTCAGCTTGATGTCTTACATGTGAGCTACATGCGTGCAGTGCAGCTTCTATTCACAACAAACATTTAGCTTCTTTCTGTGCACCAACTGTGAGTCCAGCACATGTGCTTCCCAATGCCCGATCGGATGAACCCCCAACCACCAGGTCCCTCTCTTACAACAAGCTCTCTGGACCCATCCCTGACACCATCGGCTCCCTCACCAGCCTAACAAATCTGTACGCCACACTTTGTTTTTTCCTCATGCCCATCTGTTAAAGAATATAAGGCGATACCACCTAACACCTATTCCCTCCCATCCCATTTACTGGCACCACTCCCCTTGGCATTGTTCTACCTCCCTTTCATGCTGCTTCAGGGGCCTTCGTTCCAACAAACTCTCGGGCACCATTCCTCCTTCCATTGCCTTGCTAAAAAATATCAATGCACTGTGGGTACCGCGCTGCCACTGCAAGTCCGTCACTGCTGCTGCTGCTGCTGCTGCTGCTGCTGCTGCTGCTGCTGCTGCTGCTGCTGCTGCTGTGCCTCTCCACCACTGCTGCTTCTCAACCCTCCACACCCAACCCGATGATCTCTTTAATCTCAGAAGCTTCTACTTCCATTTTTTATTCATTTCATCTTTCAACTCTCTGCTGTCCATGATCCAAACCCCCAGCGACCTGAGCTCCAACCAACTGTCTGGTCCCATCCCCAAGGAGATTGGTTCCATGGTCGCCCTCACCAACCTGTCAGTCACTCCCATCCACCACACCTCGTGGCATCCTTCCCCTTGCCTTCCCTGCCTGTCATTCCTTGTTTATGCACACCTGATTCTTCTTCCATGCATTCTCAAAGTTCCACTTACTCGTGCTCGCCCCACCTCATCTCCGTCCGTCCTTCCTCCTCCTCTCTGCACACCTTTCTTGCAGTGATCTTTCGGACAACCAGCTTTCGGGCAACATTCCTGCATCCTTGGGAGCACTCATCCAAATTGAATTCCTGTGAGCTGCACACAACACCCTGTACGAACCTGTGTCGATGTGAAGGTGCAGTTGATTCCAGAATCAAGGGCTAAGGCATGTTTAGTATCGGATTTTAGGATATGAACAAGAAAATGTGCCCAGATGGGTCCAAAGATGGAGTTTTCTTTAAAAATACCCGCTCATCACAGATGATGAAGCGAGCTTCAACCAACTACAACACCCATCTAGTAAATCTATTCAAACACAGCATGCACTATTTTTTTCCAACATGCCTTTTTCTCTTTCGTCCTTTTGTTTCTTCATTACTACTAGTCTTCCATCGTGCGTTAGCCCTGATTTCTCCCTCCCACAAGTTTCTCCTTCCCATCTGCTGTTATGCCTTCAATCTGATGCTTCCGTTCCATCCATGGTGTTTTGCAGGGACCTCTCAAACAACCAGCTTGAAGACGTCCCTTCCACTTTGACTGCTCTCAGCGTGATGACTTACATGTGAGCTACATGCATGCAGCTGGAATTTTAGAAGCATTAATAAACTGGACGCATCTTGATACACACCAATCGCTTAGGTTGGTTTTGTGCACCAACTGTGAGTCCAGTTCATGTGCCATGCAACTAGAGTCTTTTTTCTTCTGTTTGTTCTAGCTTCTCCCCTTGCCTATTGCGGAGATAACTCTAGTAACGGGAGCTAGACTACGGGCTAGGCACGGGTGCTCGTGTGATCTCTGCGTTCGTTGGTCCTTAGTCGTTTTCCTAGTGCACACACTGCTTGCTAGTTCACAAGGAAATTTGGCAAGAGTTTCACTAGAGAAAGTTGACAACAATAATGATACAATGAAGTTGGCTAGGAAAGACTACATCAGAGCTAGGATGCAAGCAGGTCGACTGCCAGCGCGGCACGGTCGACCGCGTGCCAGCACGACTTGGTCGACCGCGCTCCAGCAGTGCAGGGACGCGGCTTGCCAACGCTGCAGGTCGACGGCGTGACAACAGCGCAAGTCGACGGCGTGCCAGCGTTGCTCCTGCAGTCCAGCATCGCACCCGCTTCGCAGGTGCTCGTAGATGATTGGCGCGCACTGCTTCGTCACCTGCACAGCGTACGCACCAAGTCCACCTTGTGCTGACGACCGCATCTCATCTGCCAGGTCGACCTCGGGATACCACCACCGAGGTCGTCCTTGCCAACCTCGCCTGGGCGACCTTCGCGTGCCTTCGCAGACCCTCGTCACCCAGGTAACCTGGTCGACCGGGCAACCACGTCGACCAGGTGCTCCTGTGCGTGCCTGTCGACCTCCCAAGTCGACGGCCACCTCCAGTCGACCTCACCAGGTCGACCACGACCTCTGGTCGACCAACTCCAGGTCGACGACACTCCTTGTCGACCACCTCCAGGTCGACCAGCACTCCTGTTGGCCGACCACCCAAGTCGGCTACCCCAGGTCGGCGTCCCCAAGTCGACGCCCTCTGCAGGTCGACTTCTCAAGTCGACCACTCGAAGTTGGCGCCCTCCCGAAGTCGGCGCCCTTGCAGTGGCTCCCGTGCAGGTCGACCAACCCCGTCGACCGGCTCGCCCACTACTGCAGGTCGGCTGCACCCCTACACCCGACCAGGAAGTCGGCTCCGCCCAAGCGAGGACGGGGCGAACACCCAACTCCCGTTGACACCTATTTCACCATCCGTTGCACCCTGACATACCATCGCCTGTGCTTCTCAATGACCGGATGAAACCCCAACACCAGGTCCCTCTCTTACAACAAGCTCACTGGACCCATCCCTGACACCATTGGCTCCCTCACCAGCCTTACAAATCTGTACGCCACACTTTGCTTTCTGCTGATCGGCCACCGCAAGGGTTGCTGTGATTGCCGAACGCGAGTAGCGGGAAACTTCAAGGTACACATCACATCTGTGTGAAATATGGGACTCAACACGAGGTGCCCCAAGGGGTTTTCTGAGACAGCAAGAATCTGAGTGAAATCAAGTAGTCATAATAAGGTTGATCAACTTGGGCTGCGTGCTTTAACACTATCTCTCTTCCATCCCATTTACTGGCACTACTCCCCTTGGCGTTGTTTTGCCACCCTCCCTCCCATGCTGTTGCAGGGGCCTTCATTCCAACAAACTCTCGGGCGCCATCCCTCCCTCCATTACCTCGCTTCAAAATATCAATGAGCTGTGGGTGCTATGCTGCCGCTACCAGTCCGTCACTGCTGCTGCTGTGCCTCTCTACCACTGCTGCTGCTCCCCACAGTCAGCCAGCCAGACGCTCTGTCAAGTCTTAACACCTTCAACTCTAATTTTAGTAACTTCTGTTTTTTTTTTTTTTTTCCACCGCTGCTTCCTTATTCGGTGCTGTTCGTTCATCCAATTACTCTGTCTCTGCTGTCACCCCAGCGACCTGAGCTCCAACCAACTGTCTGGTCCCATCCCCAAGGAGATTGGTTCCATGGTCGCCCTCACCAAACTGTCAGTGACTTCCCTCCACAACTCCTTTGCATCCCTTCCCTTGCAATTTCTACCTGCCTTTACTCGTTCATGCACACCAGTTCATGCGCCCTCTGAGTCTCACTCACTCGTGCTCACCCCACGTGTCTCCTCCTTCCGCCTTTTTCCGTCCACGCCTTCTTTCCAGTGACCTTTCGGACAACCAGCTTTCGGGAAACATTCCCACAACATTTGGAGAACTAATGCAAATGGAATTCCTGTGAGCTGCACACAACACCCTGTCACAGTTGGAAATTGATTGTGTCGAAGTGAAGGTAGGGAGGACCCATGGAAGGCTGTCTTGGTGGCAAAAAAAAAATAATAACAAAAAAAAAGGATAGGGCAAGTTCAGTATTGGCTTGTAGGATAAGAACAAGAAGATGAACCCGAACAAGAGTTGGGTCCATAGGCGGCTACTTTAGTAAAACAGTAGGCCATCAGAAATGATAGCGCGAGATTTAACCAAGTAAAACACCCACCCAGTACACAGACATATAATAAGCCCTTGTTGCTCGTTGTTTTTTCATTACAACTAGTCTTCCATTGTGCTTTATGCCCTTATTTCTCCCTTTGACCTGTTTCTCCTCACCTGCTGTTATGCCTTAACTTTGATGCTTCCATTCCGCCCATGATCTTTTGCAGGGACCTCTCAAACAACCAGCTTGAAGACATCCCTTCCATTTTGGGTGCACTCAGTGTGATGACTTACTTGTGAGCTACATGCACGCAGCTTTAATTGTAGCTGCACTGTTGTACCGAACGCACCTAACATTTAGCTTGTATTCGTGTTCCTGATGTGCATGGATCAGAAATTCTCGTTGGGGACCACTTATCACTGACCCCTTCCCATCCCACTACTCTCACTACTCCCATTGGTGTTGTTTTGCCGCCCTCCCATGCTGCTGCAGGGGGCTTCGTTCCAACAAACTCGCGGGCGCTATCCCTCCCTCCATTGCCTCGCTGCGATATATTAATGACCTGTGGGTTTCCACGCTGCCTCTCTGCCAGTCTGTCACTTTTGCTGCTGTGCCTCTCCACCGCTGCTACTATTCCACCTCCCACATCTCAGCAGCTTCAACTTTCATATTGAGTCTCACTCTTACTTTCTTACTCTCTGCTGTCCATAATCCAACCCACTGCCTCTGCTGTTCCCCCAGGGACTTGAGCTCCAACCAACTGTCTGGTCCCATCCCCAAGGAGATTGGTTCCATGGTCGCCCTCACCAAACTGTCAGTGACTTCCCTCCACCACACCTGGTCGCATCCTTTCTCTTGCCATCCCTGCCTGCCTTTCCTCGTCAATGCACACTCAATTCTCGTCCCATGCATCTTCCGTGCTTCCTCTGCCCTGCACGCCTTTTCCAGTGATCTTTCGGACAACCAGCTCTCGGGCAACATCCCTGCAGCCTTTGGATCACTCATCAAAATGGAAATCCTGTGAGCTGCACTGCACACACCATCCTGTGACAGGCGAGAAATGATTGTGTGAACCTGTGTCAAAGTGAAGGCAGTTTGGAGCGATGGAAGGTCGGCCGCAAAAGAAGATTGTTGTCAAGCGAGATTTGGAATCAAAGTGCTGGTGATACCCTAACCAAAGGCAAGGGAACGTTTCATTATAGGATATAAAACAAGATAGCGAACCCAAGTGATAAAGGGAGCGTTAACTAAACCACCCACCCAGTAAACACAAATTAAATCAAACACACAACAGATGTACATATTATTTTCCCACCTCCCACTCTTTGTTTGCTTCTTGTTGTTTGTTCATTACTGCTGCTCTTCCATCATGTTTTTTTGGCCTGATAACTTTGTCCTTCTCACCTGCTGTTATGGCTTCAATCTGACGCGCCCATGCCATTCCTCCCATTATCTTTTGCAGGGACCTCTCAAACAACCAGCTTGAAGACGTCCCTTCCGTTTTGGGTGCACTCAGCAAAATGACTTACATGTGAGTTACATACATGCTGCTAAAATTGTAGCTGCTTTATTGAACCGGAGGCACCATTGATACACACGGAGCATTTAGCTTGAATGATATACCAATTGAGCTCGATACACGTGACAGTCGATTTAATTCCCCATTATTTTAGTTCTTCTCGCCAAGGTTAAAAATTTCGCTAGGCGAAATTTCCGCACCGAAACTTTCGCCCGAAATTTCCTCTCGTTTTTTTAATATTTCGGCGAAATTTTGATAGGACCAAAAAAAAACGGGAAAACAAAAACTGGTTGAGGGGAAGGCCTTAAACACGATTGCGACTCCAATATCCACTATAAACGCAAGGATATAAGAGAGAGGAAGATCTAGGCATGAAGCCATGGCGTAGTAGCGTGAGTGAAGTTGAGTCCTCTAAAGAAGTAGTGACAAATTCTGCAAGGTGACGGTCTATGGTGCGCTGTCAACTAAGCTTGACAGATTCGCGACCAACCCTAACTAATCGATCTTGAAGATTGACCCCCCACCACACAAAATCGTCACGTTTTGAGCAACCAGAATCCAACCAATTTTTATCTCTTGACCACATACTACCGCTCTGGAACTAGAAATTCGAACCCAACCAATTTCGAAGTTGGATCTAGATCTCAATTCGACCCCCGTTCAATCCGCATTTCCAGCTTTCCTTCTCCAACCAGCGAGGTTTGGAAAATTCGCCGAATTTTTGCACCAAATTCGAAAGCCGGAAACCCGGCGAAATTAACCGAAAATTTCGGGCGAAAGCTTCGATAGCGAATACTTCGCCCTAAATTTGAAAAAATCGCCGAAATTTTGAACCCTGCTTCTCGCTTCTTCCCTTGCCTATCTCACCATCCTTTTGCCTCCGACTCACCATCTCCAGTGCTTCCCAATACCCGATCGGATGAACCCCCAACCACCAGGTCCCTCTCTTACAACAAGCTCTCTGGACCCATCCCTGACACCATCGGCTCCCTCACCAGCCTTGCAGATTTGTACGGCACACTTTGTTTTTTTTTCCTGATGCCCACGGATCAGAAATTTGAATACTGATTCTCTCCTATTGCATTTGCTGTCACTACTGCCCTTGTGATTGTTTCGCCACCCTCCCGTGCTGTTGCAGGGGGCTTCGTTCCAACAAACTGTCTGGCGACATCCCTCCCTCCATTGCCTTGCTGCAAAATATCAATGCACTGTGGGTGCCAGTCTGTCACTTCTGCTGCTCTGCCTTCCTACCACTGCTGCTACTCCACCCTCGACATGCAGCCAGCCAGATGCTCTGTTTTATCACGACAATTTCAGCTTTCATGTTTTTATTATTTAGAGTCTCACTGTCACTTTCTTACTTTCTGCCGTCCATACTCCAATCCACTGTCTCTGCTGTTCCCCCAGCGACCTGAGCTCCAACCAACTGTCTGGTCCCATCCCCAAGGAGATTGGTTCCATGGTCGCCCTCACCAAACTGTCAGTCACTTTCCTCCACCATATCTCATTGCATCCATTCCTTTGCCATCCCTGCCTGCCTTTCTTCGTTTATGCATCCTTGAAGTTTCACTCACTCGTACTCGCCACACTTGCTACCCTTCTGCTCTACTTCTGTCCTGCTTGCCTTCCTCCCAGTGATCTTTCAGAGAACCAGCTATCGGGCAACATTCCTGCAACCTTTGAAGCACTCAAGCAAATGAAATTCCTGTGAGTTGCAGACAACACCTTATCACAGCCGAGAATTAATTGTCTTGACCTGTGTGAAAGTGAAGGGAGTTAGGAGCCATTGAAGGTTGGCGGCAAAAGGAGTTTGTTGTCAGGAGGGATAAATTTCCGAAGGACAGGTGATGCTAGGGCTAGGGCATGTTTAGTATAGGATATGAAGAAGAAAATGAACCCAGACAGAAAAATATAAAGTGTAATATAGCCATTAGAAATGATATAGTTAAGCTACTACAGCTCCAACCCAGTACGCAGCCATCAAATAAAACACCCAAGAACCCTTATTTTCCCTCTTCCCAGTTTTCATCACTCCTTGTTTGATAACTACTACTAGTCTTTCATCGTGCCTTTTTCTCAGAAATTTCCCTCTCGCATGTTTCTCCTTCTCAGCTGCTGTTATGCCTTCAATCTGGTGCTTCCATTCCACCCATCATGTTTTGCAGGGACCTCTCAAACAACCAGCTTGAAGACCTCCCTTCTATTTTGGGTGCACTCAGCATGATGTCTTACATGTGAGCTAAATGCATGCAGCTGGACTTGTGAAGGCGGCATTATGAACCGGACGCACCATCGATACACACCAAGTATTTTAGCTCGTAATCGTGTGCCAGTTGTGAGTCTCAGACATGCATCACTTGATTGGAGTCTCCTTTTTTATTGTTCTTGGCGCTTCCCCCTACCCTATTTCACCATCCTTCTGTCCTCGGCTTACCATCACCCGTGCTTCCCAATGCCCGATCGGATGAACCCCCAACCACCAGGTCCCTCTCTTACAACAAGCTCTCTGGACCCATCCCTGACACCATCAGCTCCCTCACCAGCATTGCAAATCTGTATGCTACACTTTGTTTTCTCCTCATTCCTAAGGTTAGAAACTAAAATTTAGGGCCCTTAAACTATTATTCCCTCCCATCCCATATTCTTGCTCTACCCCCCTTGGCATGGTTTTGCCACCCTCTCATGCTGCTGCAGGGGGCTTCGTTCCAACAAACTCTCGGGTGCCATACCTCCCTCCATTGCCTTGCTAAAAAACATCAATGCACTGTGAGTGCTGCAGTGCCGCTGCCAGTCCATCACTGCTGCTATTGTGCCTCTCTACCACTGCTGGTACTCCACCCCCTGCACCCAGCCAGTCGATGCTTCAACTTTTGGATCATTCTAAAGAATTTCGCTGCTTTCTTACTCCCTGCTTTCCATGCATCCAATCCACTCTCTGCTGTTCCCCCAGCGACCTGAGCTCCAACCAACTGTCTGGTCCCATCCCCAAGGAGATTGGTTCCATGGTCGCCCTCACCAAACTGTCAGTGAATTCCTGCAACCACTCCTTGTTGCATCGTTTCCCTTGCCATCTCCACCTGCCTTTCCTCGCTTACGCACGCCCGAGTCCTGTTCCATGCATTCTTGGAGTCTCACTCACTTGTGCTCGCAACACTTCCTTTTCTTCTGTTCTTCTTCTGCGCTGCTTGACTTTCTCCCAGTGATCTTTCGGAGAACCAGCTTTCCGGCAACATCCCTGCAACAATTGGAGCACTCATCAAAATGAAATTCCTGTGAGCTGCACACAACACCCTCTCACAGCCGAGAACTAGTTGTTCGAAGCTGTGTCAAAGTGAAGGCAGTTAGGAGCCATCGAAGGTTGGCTTGGCAAATGGGCATCACAAACGATAAAGCTTGAATTTTAGTGTAATTGGGCATCCAAGTACAACACCCACCCAGTACACAGAGATCAAATCAAACACGCCAAGAATTATTATTCCGCACTTCTCATTTGTTGTTGGCTCTTTGTTTGTTCATTCTCACTAGTCTTTCATATTGCCTTTTGTCCAGATTTCTTCCTCTCACCTGTTTCTCCTTCTCACTTGCTGTTATGCCTTCACTATGATGCTTCCATTCCATCCATGATCTTCTGCAGGAACCTCTCAAACAACCAGCTTGAAGACATCCCTTCCACTTTGGGTGCACTCAGCATGTTGTCGTACATGTGAGCTACATGCATGCAGCTGAAATTGTAGCGCCGTCATTATTGAACCGGATGCACCATTGATACACACCAA